TTACTGGTTGTAGCAGCATCACTGATCACAGGAACTTCAGCATTTGTTGTAGCAGCATTAACGGCTGTAGCAGTATCAGCAGTTTTAGCAGCATCAGTTACTGTGACAGCATCGGTGGCAGACGCAACTTTATTGGCTGTAGCAGCATCAGTGGTTGCAACAGCATCCGAGGTAGTAGCAGCCCCAACGGTTGTAGCAGCATCAGCGGTTGTAGCAGCATCAGCGGTTGTAGCAGCCCCAACGGTTGTAGCAGCATCAGCGGTTGTAGCAGCATCAGCGGTTGCAGCAGCATCAACGGTTGCAGCAGCATCAGCGGTTGCAGCAGCAGCATCAGAGGCTGTAGCCGCATCAGCGGTTGTAGCCGCATCAGCGGTTGTAGCAGCATCAGCGGTTGTAGCCGCATCAGCGGTTGTAGCAGCATCAGCGGTTGTAGCCGCATCAGCGGTTGTAGCAGCATCAGCGGTTGTAGCAGCATCTGCGGTTGTAGCAGCATCAGCGGTTGTAGCAGCATCTGCGGTTGTAGCAGCATCTGCGGTTGTAGCAGCATCTGCGGTTGTAGCAGCATCTGCGGTTGTAGCAGCATCTGCGGTTGTAGCCGCATCAGCGGTTGTAGCCGCATCAGCGGTTGTAGCAGCATCAGTTACATCATTGGCTGTGGAATCAGCGGTTGTAGCCGCATCAGTGGTTGTGGCAGCATCAGCAGCTGCGGCAGGTTCAGCAGTGGTACCAATTTCAGCATGTTTGGTTCTAGAGGAATGAGTAGAATTTGGTATCGCTGCTGGTTCAGACAAATCCTTGGTACTACCAGTGGTTGCTGACTCAGCTGCATTCGCTTCTGACTCGGAGGATGGCTGCTGTGAGTCAGCAGCACCAGGTGCTGACTCAGTAGGAGAGTGTGAGGGGACGCGCTTAGCTGGCGCATGGTGGCCCGGATGCCTGGTGGTGAGAGAGGGAAAACAGGAACATAAAAACAGGGACGTATCAGTTTAGGGTTCAAGATATCGGATTCGGGGTTCTGGGTTTAAGGGTTGAAGTTTAATAGTTTGGGGCTGAGTTTTCTGGTAGAGGGGGGACAAAGGAAGAATGGGACGACAAGACAAGAGATAAAGCTGGTGCTATAGGAAGTGGTGTACACAATGCTAGATTGCTGTGGTAAGACAGGAGGAAAGGAGGGTCGGAGGATGGCAGGGTGGGAGGTTGGGGAGGCAGGTGGGAGGGAGCATTGTTCAAGAAAGGAAATGGGATCCCCCCGCACACACAGAACACACACACGTCACACAAACAGACATAGACACACAGAAACACACACACACACACACACACACACACACACGCACACACACACACACACACACACACACACACACAGAGGCAGCCTCACACTCACAGACACACATGCACTAGCCAGTGACACAAGCAAGGGAGAGCAGGTGCTTACAATCAAGTCGAGAATTTTCAAAAGAGAGAGAAGGCAGAGGAAACAGGTACACTCACTTGACTATGTGGCTGAACTGAGCGAGGGGGTCATGATGGCATTGCATGGTTGCCACGTGTGAAGACATGCACACATGCACGCAAGCACATGCTCACATGCACACACGCACATGCACACATGCACGCAAGCACATGCTCACATGCACACATACACATACACGCACACGCACATGCACGTTCACACGTTCACACATGCACGCAAGCACGCACGCATGCACGCACACGCGCAACCACAAGACTTGACTTAGAAAGTGATGAATCAAAAGGGACCGCAGCAGACAGCACCGCACATGTCACAACGGTTCTTACGCCTGCGACAGCATGGGGGAGCACGCGACTGGCTCTCGCGTGAGCTTTTCTTCCCTAGGCGTCCCCCCCTTCCTCCCCCCCTTCCCCACCTCCCTGCCCCTTCCCCCCTCTCTGTCCCTGTAGCTTACCTTGTCGATGGCGCCAGGGGCGCATGGAGAGGGGCACGCGAGGAGGAGAAGCAGGAGGGGGAGGAGGGCAGCGGAGAGCCGCGCAGCACCAAATCCCATCGCACTGCACCGCACCGCGCCCCCCTGGTGATTCAGCTGCGCGATGGATGCGCGCTCTCTGCGCTGCTACTGCTTGCTGCCTTTCACGCACTTCTTATCTCATTCGTCATCTCTCTGCCTCTCTTAGGGCGTGTTGCAAGTTCAAAAATCGAAGGATCGTGGCTGCACACCGATCCCTTGTTGGAGATCCTGGGCTCACTGCGTTATCGATCACTGTACCACGACCGCCCAAGCGTACTACCACCTAGAGTAATGCGACAGTGCGGTTTCGCTTTTCAAACGCAGAAACAATAAACACTCTGTTCGCCACTGCTCGTGAAATTTTGCAGCCCGTATAACACTGACATGCGAGTTTTTCTGCGCATCGCGAAATGGTTTCGTGACTGTATGTTTTCTGCATCGTCAATCTCACGATCGATCTTCGTGGCGAGGCGATCGAGCTGGTTTTCGCCAATCTCCTCGGTCGTGCACAGTGCTAACACTGTAGTATGGTAACCTTTCGCTACAGTGGTTGACCACAGTGAGGATCGGTTCGAAGAGGCGATCGATCCTCTACTTGCAACACGCCCTTACGTGCCGCGTGACATTGTATGCACCTACTCAGTCGACTCATAAGCCTATTTCATACTTCATCTTACTATCTAGCGGTAGCCTTCGTTCGCGATACCGGGACAGACCCTTAATAACCCCGCAATCACACCCATCTATTCAGTCCGGGCTGTCTCGGGTTTTCATATTTTCATATGCCTTCGTGCTGTACCTAGCATGTCATCTGATCATGAACTCGATGAATGAGAATGCTAAAAGGCTCTACTTTGGTTATCTGAATCAGGAATTGGGCTATCTTTCGTGTTCCCACGTGGACTGCTGATTAACACTGCTGGCTAACAAGCCCATGGATACTCCCCGGAGTGATCCCCGCGCAATAATCCCCCGTGCAAGTGCAGTGCCTATTACTATCTTATCGTGGTAATCGGCTCCCGTCCCTCGAGACATCCAACGATCGTTGGATGGTGTCGGCACTTGGAACCTGGGATGGCTGATAGAGGTCCATGGAGCTGATAGGCTGGTGTGGTGCACAGGGGGTTGGGGATGGGTGGGTGCCATACTCTTCCACCATATACATGTAGGTAGGCACTGCAAGCAAATGGTTGCAGGATCATGATCATAAATAAGAACACTCCCTTTCTTCCTGGTTGATCTCTTATCGAGTTTATACCAAGTCTTGACTGGAGCATATGGCCGCGCAGATTCACTTCGGGGAGTGAGGTGAGGTGAGGATCGGTGATGCTGATAAGCTTATTAGGGGAAGATTAGTGAGATTGTTTATCAGCAGAAGGTCCCCGGCTGTGCTCGTATCTGATATCGGAGCATACCATAAGCTGGGAGAGACGAACTGGAGCCAGAATGAGAACACTGTGCCGCAAGTTAGGCTCCCGTCAGCAGTGTACAGCACGTTTGTCAATTTCGTTGGATGATAAGGTTACCAGACCCTGCTTGGCCGCGTGAACGACAATTGGAAAAGCAAGAGATCGTCGCCGATTTGTCGGTCGCCTCGCCTCCACTAGCTGACGGCTTCGGTTGGGGCGGAACGTCGTCTGACGAATCGTTAACCGCCACTTCATCGCGGCTCAACCGATGAAAGGTTTCAACCAGCAGGGACGACACATCTGACCTGATGCGTTGTGGTCGGCGACTCAATGGACCTGGAGAATGACGGCTAGCGAATATATCTCCATGTTACACGCAGAACCACTTGTGGTGTTCCGGGGGAGGCCAAGCTGAGCAGTGATGTTTCGCGAAATTTTAGGAAGCGTGATTTGTGGATGTCTTCTCAAAATAGGCAATTCCGCAGGCCTCCCTGAACCACCCCTCACGAGGACGCATCCACACACGAAATCCTGCGTAATGACTGCTGATGTCGTACAGATTTGGTCTGCTTGTTACGAGTGGTGACCACTCTGTGAGACGCTGAATTCACGAAGACGCCCTCTCCTCCACACTCAAGCGAGCAAAACTTCAGGATTATGTAACCTCTAGGCACATTTCCAAGCAAATCTGTTTTACTCGGTATATGTAGGATCGAGGGATTCAGGGATTCAGAGAAATCGAGAGTTCCCAAAGATTAGTAGAACGTCGAGCAAAACACCTCGCTCGCTCTCTCCTGTTTGCTGGGCTAATTAGCTCTCACTCGATCCAGTCTCCGATTCCAAGTCACCGTGCGCTAGTTCTGTTATAAGAATTCGGGTTGAAAGGATCTCAAACCTTGGGGATAGCACCAGGCGCGTCGCAGAACGAATTTCCGCACCTATCAGCTTTGTTCTCCCCTCTGATGTTTCCCCTCTGATCCGGGGCCAGACTATCCATCCCATTACAGATTTCCTAGTCGTATTTATTCACGATTGCCAGTTCCCGTCACTTCTTGAGCAACTGGCTGGCGTTCGGAAGAATTGGGCTTGAGTCACGCATCCTTGTCGCATTGCATCCTTGTCGCATCCCATCATTGTCGCACCGCATCCTTGTGGCATCGCATCCGTGTCGCATGCCTCAGTCTTGTCGCATCGCATCCGTCTCGCGTCGCATTCCTGTCGCATCCAGCATACACTAGTAGAACGATCAGAAGCGATTACCTTCAGTGTCGGTACGGCTTCCACGCTTTCTCTCTGAAGCAGGCTGTCCTTCCAGGACCGATCAGTACTGATCAGCACCTATCAGAACCGATCGTCTGGATTTTGCCGTGGTCTCTTTTTTTCGTGGCCGAACCAACGGAATAGAAGCTGAATCGTATCCCATATTGACATCGGAGTCGACTATTGAAGCGCCACAAAGTTCTCTTTCGTTCCAAGGGCGGAACAGACGCTGACGAGTATCTCACGCCGACGTTAGAGTCGTCCCGGGGAAAAGCGCGCGCGGAAACCGTCTCCTCGGTTCCCCGCGTCTCTCCGCCTCCCCCCTGCCGTCGCGCCCGGCATGAGCACGGAAGCCCGCGGAAACGGCATGGGAAAGGGCACAGAAACTGCGGAAACTGCAGCTCACGCGGGGAAGACCGCGGGAAGGCCATGGGAGATCCGACTGTCAGGCGGAGAAGATGAGCGGAAAGGAGCGGCGGAGGGTGGTGATGCGGCGGAGAACGGCGGGGAGAAGGCGGAAAATGGCGGGGGGAAGACGTCCCCGGAGCAGCAGCAGCGGGAGCTTGGGCAGCAGCAGTCGGGAGAGGAGGCCGGGAGGGATGAAAGCGGAGCCACGGACGAGGAGGAGGAGGAGGAAGATAAGATGTATGGCGGATTGTTGAAGCTTCGAATGAAGAAGCTGTCCGTCAGCTTGAATCAGGTGCGCGGAAACTCAATCAAAAAGCATGAAATGTGTAATATATATTATACATATATATATACATATATATATATATATACATAAAAGTAACAAAAAGATGTGCAAATGCCATCCTTCTCTCCCGCCTTGTTGCCAGCCCGGTTCTCCCTTCTGCCTTTTTCTCCCCCCCACGCCTCCCCCTTTCCCCCTTCTCCCTTCTGCCTCCCCCTTCCCCCTTCCTGCTTCGCCCTTCCTCCTACCCGCTACCCCCTTCCCCCTACCCGCTTCCCCCTTCCTCCTACCCGCTTCCCCCTTCCCCTTCCCTCTTCCCCCTCCCCTCTTCGTCCCCGCTTCCCCGCTGCCGCCACAGCCGCGCATGAGCGCATGGGACCTTGACCGCGAGGGGGAAACGGCCCCCAGCGGGAAGGCGGGGGCCGGGGGGCGGGGGAAGGGCAGGGGGAAGGGCGAGGGGGAGGAGAAGGGGGAGGAGTCGGGGGCGGATGGGCGGCATGCGCCCGCGCAGAGCAGCACAGATGACATGGAACCTGTTGTGCTCACTCCCAGGTATGTTAGCCTATAGTTTTCAATTTCTACCTGTACGCTGTGTGCTTTCCTCTCCCCTACCCTGTGCTCTATGCTGTCCTTTGAGCCACCTCAAGAGTCGAAGCAGCACAGATGACATGGAACCTGTGGTTCTCACTCCCACGTATGACCCTCTGGTTGCTTGCTCATGTTGTGTACCTCATTTTACGTTACCCATCATATCCTCTGCTCTATCCTGTGCTGCTCACCCCTTGCTCTCCGCCATATCACACTCACCCCCCCCCCCCCCCCCCTCACCTCTCTCATCCCTCTCCCGCTCGCCTCTCTCCCCTGTCCCGCATTTTCCCTCTCCCTCCCTATCCCTCCCCCTCTCCCCGCCCTCCGTTCTCTCCTCCCTCCGCGCCTCTCAGTGCTCGATCGGCAACAAACTCGCCTCGGCACCACCACACACCCAAGTAAGCTTGCAGCCCCACTCTTCTCCTCTCATCTGCACCACCGCACGACCAGTTGGGTTGGGTCTGTAGCCCATCCACTGTTGAGTCGACTCACAAGTCAACACGCCCAAGTAACCCTGCAGCCCCACTCTTCTCCTCCCATCTGCACCACCACACAACCAGCTGGGTTGGGTCTGCAACCCACCAACACTTCTAGAAGTGACGTTTGAGTGGACTCACAAGCCACTCCCCATCCCATCCCGCCATATCTTTCTGTGGAACCTCTATCTTTCTTTGGGTGTGTGTGGCTGGCAATGTTGGTTCGATCTGCAACCCACTTTTGTCGAGGTGACATTTGAGTGGACGCCTGTTCCCATCCCCACCCCATCTCACCCCATCCCACCCCATCCCATCTTCTTCCGTGGAAACTTATCTTTCTTCCTCTGTGTGTGTGTGGCTGACTGGCAGTGTTCGATCTGCAGCCCACTCTCCCCGGCACTACTCCCCCAGGTACCTTCTCCTGCTTGCTTGGCACCTCCCCTCCCTCCCTCTCTTCTGCTCTCCCTGTCTCCCCCACTTTTTCCCTCTTCCTCCCTTTCCTATCCGCCTCTCTTTGTTTCACACACGCACAGATTCCTTCGTTCTGTGCAGGATCGTTCGTCCCTTCACTCTCCTCTCGCTCAACTCTTGCCCGTGCATCCCCCTTGCCTGCCCTTTCCGCTCCTCTCGTCATGCTCTTCCTTCAAACACACGCCACCTCAACCCTTTTCCCCCATCCCTCACCCTCCCACCAACCCCTCCCTCCCCTCTTCCGCTTTCTGTCCTCTTCCACCTCCACTCCCCGTCTCTTCTCCCCCTCCCCCTTCCTCCCTCCCTTTTTTCCCTCCGCCCCCTCTCCCCACTTGCCTTCCCCAGCCTGACCATCCGGTCCGGCCTGACCACGCCCATGGGATCGGCGAGAGGCTCGGCGGCGTTTATGGTGGATCAGATGGTGGGGGACGCCTGGGATGTGCTGCGCCGCTCCCTCGTGCTCTTCCGGGGGAAGCCCGTGGGCACTATCGCTGCCATGGACAACACAGAGTCGGCTCTCAACTACGACCAGGTATGTATGGGCTGATTGGAATGGGTAGAGGGGGGAGGGGGGAGGGGGAAGGGGGGGTAGGGCACAGGTTTCTCTTCCGGGGGAAGCCCGTGGGCACTATCGCTGCCATGGACAACACAGAGTCGGCTCTCAACTATGACCAGGTAGGAGCTGAGCTGGTTCGCATAGGCACCTTACAACACACCTTACAAGCGTTTGGGAAAAGCGGGTGCCGTGTTATTTTTCAGAGGGAAGCCCGTGGGCACCATTGCTGCAATGGACAACACAGAGTCCGCTCTCAACTATGACCAGGTATGGGCTGGTTTGGAGGAGGAAGGAAAGGAGAAGGTACAGTTACAAGCTGTTGTCTCTCCTGGGACATGCTGTGCCAGCTTCTTTCCCCCCCGTTTCCCCTTTTCGCTCCCTGCTCACACACCCCCCACCCTTCCACCCCCCCAACCCCCCCCCCGTCGCCCTCTTCCTCGCTTTCTCTCTCTTTCTCCCTCAGTGCAGGTGTTCGTGCGGGACTTTGTGTCGCCTGAGACATGCTGCGCTAGCCTCTTTGCCCTTCCATTTCCTTCCTCCTTTCACTTCTCCACTGCCTCGCTTTCTCTCTCCCCCTCTCCCCCTCTGCAGGTGTTTGTGCGTGACTTTGTGCCCAGCGCGCTGGCCTTTCTGATCAACGGGGAGCACAGCATCGTCGAGAACTTCCTCCTCAAGACGCTCCGCCTGCAGGTAGGTAGTCGCTAGAGGAGCAGCTGAGTGAACAGCAGTTAGAGCAGGTGTAAGTAAGCAACCCCCACTGCTGCATGCCCCTGCTGAAGAAGGGCGTCTTTCTGGTCTTTCTGATCAACGGGGAGCACAGCATTGCAGATGGGAACTTCCTCCTCAAGACACTCTGCCTGCAGGTAAGCATTAGAACCACCTGATAGAGATGGGTAACTGCTAGAGCTGCGGGTGGGAAACCGCTGATTGATTGGCGTGCGTTTGAGAATTCTCAAAAGTACCATCAACGGAACCACCTGATCGAGATAGGTTACTGCTAGAGCTGCGGGTGGAAATCCGCAGAGTGATGGACGTGCGTGGGGGGAAGCAAGTGGATGTTCAATTCCTGATACGGGGCGTGCATGCGTGGACGTTCTTGCGGATCAACTGGGATCAACTGGGGGCACAGCATTGTTGAAAACTTCCTCCTCAAGATGCTCACATCTCTCCGCCTGCAGGTAGAGAGATGAGTGATAGGAGATAGGTGACGGCTAGAGCAGCAGACAGGCACCGGCCACTGCCTATCCTATCACCGCTTCCTTCCCTTCCCTCCTGTAGAAATCTCACCTCTTCTCCCCACCCCCCACACGACACACACACCAGGCGTAGGAGACGCGGGTGTATGTGTTCACTCTAGGGGAGGGAGTCATGCCCGCGTGTAATGAGTCGAGTTTTTGAGTCGACTCAAAACCCGAGTTTTGAGTCGACTCAAAACGGGAGTCATGCCCGCATTCTTCAAGGTGCTGCACGACTTTCTTGACTTGAGGCGCCTCAACCCCTTTATCCCTCCTCACACTCGCCTCCCGACCCACACAACCAAACCCACCCACTCCCCGACACACACCAGGCGTGGGAGAAGCGAGTGGACGTGTTCACTCTAGGGGAAGGAGTCATGCCCGCGTCCTTCAAGGTGCTGCACGATCCAAAGCACGGCACCGACACCATGATAGCCGGCGTTGGGGAGAAAGCCTTATTTCTCCCTCGGCTTTCCAGGAACGGGCTTTTGGCGATTCCAAAGGAGCCTCCCTTCCGCTCTAGAATCCCCTCTCGTCCCCCTCCTTTCCCCCCCAACCCCCGTGCACCAGGCGTGGGAGAAGCGAGTGGACGTGTTCACTCTAGGCGAGGGCGTCATGCCCGCGTCCTTCAAGGTGCTGCACGACCCTAAGCGCGGCACGGACACCATGATTGCCGACTTTGGGGAGAGCGCTATCGGGCGCGTGGCCCCGGTTGACAGTGGCTTCTGGTGGATCTTCCTGCTGCGCGCCTATGTCAAGGCCACAGGTGGGTCTGTTCTGTTCTTGGTCCATTTTGAGCTGACTTGAGCTGATTTGACGTTGGTCGAGTTGAGCTGACTCCGTTTGACTTTAATTCCTTCCCGTTCCTCTCTCTCCCTCCCCGTCCCATTCCCTTCACGCAATCAAGCGTTGGCCGACTCTCCAGACTGCCAGAGGGGCATGCGGCTGATTCTCGACCTGTGTCCAGCTGATGGGTTTGATACCCCACTTGACTCGCATTGACTTGAATTGGATCCCACGTTCTCGCTTCTCTTCACTCCCGTTTTTCTTCAGGCGATCAAGCGTTGGCGGATTCGCCAGACTGCCAGAGGGGCATGCGGCTGATCCTGGACCTGTGTCTGGCGGACGGGTTTGACACCTTCCCCACGCTGCTCTGCGCTGATGGCTGCTGCATGATTGACCGACGCATGGTGAGACAAAGGGTGGGCGATGGGGGGATGGAAGGATAAGGGACGGGGGAATGGGATGGGTTTGACACCTTCCCCACGCTGCTCTGCGCTGATGGCTGCTGCATGATTGACCGACGCATGGTGAGACAAAGGGTGGGCGATGGGGGGATGGAAGGATAAGGGACGGGGGAATGGGATGGGTTTGACACCTTCCCCACGCTGCTCTGCGCTGATGGCTGCTGCATGATTGACCGACGCATGGTGAGACAAAGGGTGGGCGATGGGGGGATGGAAGGATAAGGGACGGGGGAATGGGATGGGTTTGACACCTTCCCCACGCTGCTCTGCGCTGATGGCTGCTGCATGATTGACCGACGCATGGTGAGACAAAGGGTGGGCGATGGGGGGATGGAAGGATAAGGGACGGGGGAATGGGATGGGTTTGACACCTTCCCCACGCTGCTCTGCGCTGATGGCTGCTGCATGATTGACCGACGCATGGTGAGACAAAGGGTGGGCGATGGGGGGATGGAAGGATAAGGGACGGGGGAATGGGATGGGTTTGACACCTTCCCCACGCTGCTCTGCGCTGATGGCTGCTGCATGATTGACCGACGCATGGTGAGACAAAGGGTGGGCGATGGGGGGATGGAAGGATAAGGGACGGGGGAATGGGATGGGTTTGACACCTTCCCCACGCTGCTCTGCGCTGATGGCTGCTGCATGATTGACCGACGCATGGTGAGACAAAGGGTGGGCGATGGGGGGATGGAAGGATAAGGGACGGGGGAATGGGATGGGTTTGACACCTTCCCCACGCTGCTCTGCGCTGATGGCTGCTGCATGATTGACCGACGCATGGTGAGACAAAGGGTGGGCGATGGGGGGATGGAAGGATAAGGGACGGGGGAATGGGATGGGTTTGACACCTTCCCCACGCTGCTCTGCGCTGATGGCTGCTGCATGATTGACCGACGCATGGTGAGACAAAGGGTGGGCGATGGGGGGATGGAAGGATAAGGGACGGGGGAATGGGATGGGTTTGACACCTTCCCCACGCTGCTCTGCGCTGATGGCTGCTGCATGATTGACCGACGCATGGTGAGACAAAGGGTGGGCGATGGGGGGATGGAAGGATAAGGGACGGGGGAATGGGATGGGTTTGACACCTTCCCCACGCTGCTCTGCGCTGATGGCTGCTGCATGATTGACCGACGCATGGTGAGACAAAGGGTGGGCGATGGGGGGATGGAAGGATAAGGGACGGGGGAATGGGATGGGTTTGACACCTTCCCCACGCTGCTCTGCGCTGATGGCTGCTGCATGATTGACCGACGCATGGTGAGACAAAGGGTGGGCGATGGGGGGATGGAAGGATAAGGGACGGGGGAATGGGATGGGTTTGACACCTTCCCCACGCTGCTCTGCGCTGATGGCTGCTGCATGATTGACCGACGCATGGTGAGACAAAGGGTGGGCGATGGGGGGATGGAAGGATAAGGGACGGGGGAATGGGATGGGTTTGACACCTTCCCCACGCTGCTCTGCGCTGATGGCTGCTGCATGATTGACCGACGCATGGTGAGACAAAGGGTGGGCGATGGGGGGATGGAAGGATAAGGGACGGGGGAATGGGATGGGTTTGACACCTTCCCCACGCTGCTCTGCGCTGATGGCTGCTGCATGATTGACCGACGCATGGTGAGACAAAGGGTGGGCGATGGGGGGATGGAAGGATAAGGGACGGGGGAATGGGATGGGTTTGACACCTTCCCCACGCTGCTCTGCGCTGATGGCTGCTGCATGATTGACCGACGCATGGTGAGACAAAGGGTGGGCGATGGGGGGATGGAAGGATAAGGGACGGGGGAATGGGATGGGTTTGACACCTTCCCCACGCTGCTCTGCGCTGATGGCTGCTGCATGATTGACCGACGCATGGTGAGACAAAGGGTGGGCGATGGGGGGATGGAAGGATAAGGGACGGGGGAATGGGATGGGTTTGACACCTTCCCCACGCTGCTCTGCGCTGATGGCTGCTGCATGATTGACCGACGCATGGTGAGACAAAGGGTGGGCGATGGGGGGATGGAAGGATAAGGGACGGGGGAATGGGATGGGTTTGACACCTTCCCCACGCTGCTCTGCGCTGATGGCTGCTGCATGATTGACCGACGCATGGTGAGACAAAGGGTGGGCGATGGGGGGATGGAAGGATAAGGGACGGGGGAATGGGATGGGTTTGACACCTTCCCCACGCTGCTCTGCGCTGATGGCTGCTGCATGATTGACCGACGCATGGTGAGACAAAGGGTGGGCGATGGGGGGATGGAAGGATAAGGGACGGGGGAATGGGATGGGTTTGACACCTTCCCCACGCTGCTCTGCGCTGATGGCTGCTGCATGATTGACCGACGCATGGTGAGACAAAGGGTGGGCGATGGGGGGATGGAAGGATAAGGGACGGGGGAATGGGATGGGTTTGACACCTTCCCCACGCTGCTCTGCGCTGATGGCTGCTGCATGATTGACCGACGCATGGTGAGACAAAGGGTGGGCGATGGGGGGATGGAAGGATAAGGGACGGGGGAATGGGATGGGTTTGACACCTTCCCCACGCTGCTCTGCGCTGATGGCTGCTGCATGATTGACCGACGCATGGTGAGACAAAGGGTGGGCGATGGGGGGATGGAAGGATAAGGGACGGGGGAATGGGATGGGTTTGACACCTTCCCCACGCTGCTCTGCGCTGATGGCTGCTGCATGATTGACCGACGCATGGTGAGACAAAGGGTGGGCGATGGGGGGATGGAAGGATAAGGGACGGGGGAATGGGATGGGTTTGACACCTTCCCCACGCTGCTCTGCGCTGATGGCTGCTGCATGATTGACCGACGCATGGTGAGTGGGATGAATGGGGGGCGGTGGGTAGAGAGGGGGATGGGGAATAGGAGGAAGGAAAGGGAGATGGGGAAACGGGGGGAGGGGGAGCGGGAGCTGAGGGGAGCGGGAGCCGAGGGGAGGGGAGATGGAGATGGGCGGGCAGGGAGATTGGGGAGCAGGGAGATGGGGGAATGGGTGTGTGGGTGGTTTGGGGTTCTCGACCTGTGTGGGTGTGTGGGTGATTGACTGACGCATGGTGAGACAAAGGGTGGGCGATGGGGGGATGGAAGGATAAGGGACGGGGGAATGGGATGGGTTTGACACCTTCCCCACGCTGCTCTGCGCTGATGGCTGCTGCATGATTGACCGACGCATGGTGAGTGGGATGAATGGGGGGCGGTGGGTAGAGAGGGGGATGGGGAATAGGAGGAAGGAAAGGGAGATGGGGAAACGGGGGGAGGGGGAGCGGGAGCTGAGGGGAGCGGGAGCCGAGGGGAGGGGAGATGGAGATGGGCGGGCAGGGAGATTGGGGAGCAGGGAGATGGGGGAATGGGTGTGTGGGTGGTTTGGGGTTCTCGACCTGTGTGGGTGTGTGGGTGATTGACTGACGCATGGTGAGACAAAGGGTGGGCGATGGGGGGATGGAAGGATAAGGGACGGGGGAATGGGATGGGTTTGACACCTTCCCCACGCTGCTCTGCGCTGATGGCTGCTGCATGATTGACCGACGCATGGTGAGTGGGATGAATGGGGGGCGGTGGGTAGAGAGGGGGATGGGGAATAGGAGGAAGGAAAGGGAGATGGGGAAACGGGGGGAGGGGGGAGCGGGAGCTGAGGGGAGCGGGAGCCGAGGGGAGGGGAGATGGAGATGGGCGGGCAGGGAGATTGGGGAGCAGGGAGATGGGGGAATGGGTGTGTGGGTGGTTTGGGGTTCTCGACCTGTGTGGGTGTGTGGGTGATTGACTGACGCATGGTGAGACAAAGGGTGGGCGATGGGGGGATGGAAGGATAAGGGACGGGGGAATGGGATGGGTTTGACACCTTCCCCACGCTGCTCTGCGCTGATGGCTGCTGCATGATTGACCGACGCATGGTGAGTGGGATGAATGGGGGGCGGTGGGTAGAGAGGGGGATGGGGAATAGGAGGAAGGAAAGGGAGATGGGGAAACGGGGGGAGGGGGAGCGGGAGCTGAGGGGAGCGGGAGCCGAGGGGAGGGGAGATGGAGATGGGCGGGCAGGGAGATTGGGGAGCAGGGAGATGGGGGAATGGGTGTGTGGGTGGTTTGGGGTTCTCGACCTGTGTGGGTGTGTGGGTGATTGACTGACGCATGGTGAGACAAAGGGTGGGCGATGGGGGGATGGAAGGATAAGGGACGGGGGAATGGGATGGGTTTGACACCTTCCCCACGCTGCTCTGCGCTGATGGCTGCTGCATGATTGACCGACGCATGGTGAGTGGGATGAATGGGGGGCGGTGGGTAGAGAGGGGGATGGGGAATAGGAGGAAGGAAAGGGAGATGGGGAAACGGGGGGAGGGGGAGCGGGAGCTGAGGGGAGCGGGAGCCGAGGGGAGGGGAGATGGAGATGGGCGGGCAGGGAGATTGGGGAGCAGGGAGATGGGGGAATGGGTGTGTGGGTGGTTTGGGGTTCTCGACCTGTGTGGGTGTGTGGGTGATTGACTGACGCATGGTGAGACAAAGGGTGGGCGATGGGGGGATGGAAGGATAAGGGACGGGGGAATGGGATGGGTTTGACACCTTCCCCACGCTGCTCTGCGCTGATGGCTGCTGCATGATTGACCGACGCATGGTGAGTGGGATGAATGGGGGGCGGTGGGTAGAGAGGGGGATGGGGAATAGGAGGAAGGAAAGGGAGATGGGGAAACGGGGGGAGGGGGAGCGGGAGCTGAGGGGAGCGGGAGCCGAGGGGAGGGGAGATGGAGATGGGCGGGCAGGGAGATTGGGGAGCAGGGAGATGGGGGAATGGGTGTGTGGGTGGTTTGGGGTTCTCGACCTGTGTGGGTGTGTGGGTGATTGACTGACGCATGGTGAGACAAAGGGTGGGCGATGGGGGGATGGAAGGATAAGGGACGGGGGAATGGGATGGGTTTGACACCTTCCCCACGCTGCTCTGCGCTG